TATCTTCAGATAAGACATCATCATTTGGTGACGGACCTTGGGTTTAAGACTCACCAAGATAAGATAACATCAGACTACTAGATACTCGTAATTCGGGTGGGGGAGTCATCCGGACAAGACTACATCACATCACAAGATATACCCGCTGTGTGCTCCATTTAGAGTTGATGGTACCGATACCTGTGGTCTTATCTTAAATCTCCTTAACTTTGAAACCCAACACAAGCATGTGACACGATAGGATTGTATGACTTTTCATTTCGTTTTTTTTTAAAAAAAATTCAAATCAAAATCACAAGATATACCCGCTGTGTGCTCCATTTAGAGTTGATGGTACCGATACCTGTGGTCTTATCTTAAATCTCCTTAACTTTGAAACCCAACACAAGCATGTGACACGATAGGATTGTATGACTTTTCATTTCGTTTTTTTAATTTCTTTTTATAGGTTTAATGTTTCCATTTTCTTCCAACTTGGATCGACCTTTATCAAAGGCCATGGCAGAATGATGGTAGTGACGAAAACTGATTACTTTCTTCATTTCTTGCTATTCATATTGCGATATCTTTATTTTGGATTGATATCAATTAAAGAAGTAGCTGAACTGATAATACTCGTTACGATGGCTTATGTACTACACATTGTGTGTGGACATTATAGTGAAGAAGTTGGATCAGTCTGCCCTGCCTTTGGGAGATCCCATTATGTGTCTGAGTTTTATTTCAGATGCTGCAAACATTCTCACTATGATCTTTTAATTCAATTTTGACAACCCCATTTCAATTGAAATTCACGATTACACGATTTTCGCGAACCACATTTATCATGTGATATTTATCATCGTTTCTTTCACAAGAACACCAAACGTTTAAAGATACTGTGTTGACAGAGGAAACGTTTAAGTATACGAAACAAATATTAACGCTGAAACCATGAACATCACGTTTTGAAGAAGATACACCCACAAGTCTCCTTCCAAACAGACATATGAAATCATATTACAGCGTTGATGGCATGCAAATGCCTGATAAAACCTCTGTTTTATTACATTGGTGTTTTATTGAAAGAACACGTGTTGGTGTCACCACCAGCGTTTTAACTGGCGTCAAATAAGAGCAATAAGAGATAGTTTGCACAGATTAAGCTCTAAATATGTTCTGTCACAACGTTTCCGGGGAATATTTATGAGTCTGGTTATCTGCAATCGACTAGTGAGAGCAATTGTTAATGAACTTTACATCCCATTATTATCAATCACGAGCAGTTCTTTCATCGCCGGCTATTGATTTCTGATGCAGAATGTGCAAGAGTTAAACCTATTACAAGGATGGGGATGGAAGCATTGTCAAAACAGGACTTTGAAACATCCTGGAATGCCGGGCGGCTATATCCTTCAGCTATATATCAAATAAGCTTTACAGAAAATGAAAACTCGTTCTGAATGTTTTAGAGCCCTGTTAGTTAGAATGGTTCATTTAGTGGAGTATAAAAGAAAGGCGTTATCGACCCAAGACCTATGCCATATACAAACGTGTCATTTGAACTGACAATGGTGCCGTGATGTAACGTTGCTTCCATACCACTGACTCCCTATAGTTTGATGTTTATTAAACCCAATATCTGATATGGAGCTAATTTAGTACGCAGCCTGAACGGCTTGGCGCGTCTTTACATTCCTGAGGGAAAAATGAAAGATTTACCATCGATAGATGAATGTACTATTCTAGAATTCCCTAATTTCTCTCCAGATTACATCAGAGGATAAATCACATAAGTAAGCATTTGCTGAAAAGGGGATTAAATATTCGATGCACACATATAACATAGGCATGCACTTAATGTAATTGCATCCGCATGCTTTTAAATGATACATGCATACGCATTAAATTAACAACCAACAGCTTTGCCAGTATCGCTGCCACAACCCAAACTACTATAACCTTCAGTAATATCTGGTACTGCCTACTACAATTGCAGTCAATACTACCATAACTTTTACTTCCATAGTTGTGTTAATGAATACATCCAGTGCTGCCTCAAAGAACCTTATCCACTACTTCTGCCACTACCTCTATCCATACTACTACCAGAAGCACTGCAACAAACTATGATTCATCGATACTTACTTACCGTGGTCAAAGTCCTCTTCCAATTATAAGGGGCACCAGACCCCATAACTGATGCAATCATTGTTGCTCGTCGAGAAATTATTTGAATATTCCAATTACTTCTGGCGGTCGATGTTAGATTAACGCGGACGTTGTGTATAATCGAAATGACGTGTGTAATTTTGAACATATTTATTCATCCTGTGATTCATCGGAAGGACATGGGAGCAAATGTAATGAAAATAAAAGAACCGCATGACCCTCTTCACGACAATTGAATTTTGCAAATGTCGAAATACCCAAACTAACTGAACCTGAAAACGAAAACAGCCAGGTCGTCATACATGATTTTTTTTTCTTCAGCTCAATCACACAAAGAACAAGTAAAGCTCCTTTGTATCATATTCGGCCTTAAAAAAATATTGGGAGAATGGGCGGCCGAGTGTTGAAGGCACTGCTATTTGCTGAGCAAACATCCTTTAGTCGTGAGTGATCGTGAGTTCGAATCCCAGATTAGTCCCAATAATGATCCTTGGTTTGTCAGCACCATCCACGTCTCATAACGTGTGACGCTTTGATTTTTCTTACATATTTTATATACACTGTGATATAACTGTACTGTTCTGTGCAACGTTAAACCCAACTAACGTATTAGTGCCCTATTAATAAGTTTCTTCTGACATTAAGAACCTTTGGTTTTTCGTTCAATTGTGAACATCTTGTTCTACATTTCAAAGCTTTGCTTCACAAAATGTCAGATGATTGTGCAACCACATTCGTAAGCATAAAATCGCATTGTTTAGTTCTTAATCATATATATATATATTAAAATAATAAAGTCCACGTTAGTCCATCATCTTCTTCATATCAGTTTCAGACATAGTACTTTCGCTGTCTCATGACAGCTCTTCAGTTACACTGAGACAGCGAAAGTATATATATATATATATATATATATATATATATATATATATATATATATATATATATATATATTATTTACCACTAAGTTAACATCGCAGTAAGTTCACTTTAAAACTCAGAAGTAGTTAGTTGAAGGTATATATATATATATATATATTATTTACCACTAAGTTGAAGGTATATATATATATATATATATTATTTACCACTAAGTTAACATCGCAGTGAGTTCACTTTAAAACTCAGAAGTAGTTAGTTGAAGGTTAAGTTAGATTTCAAGTACTTTCTTACCAATAACCTTTGCGTTGTGTTAAGGTAATTCCATACATTTACGTAAGTTTGATATTTCAAGACTTGACGTAAATGATTTTGAGAAGTAGACTGAAGATCCCCCCAGTATACGCAAGTCAGGGAACTGGACATAATCAATACTAGGATTAAATAGCTGTAGTTGTTTTAAATACCCATGGTGACGTCACAGAGTAATTACATTTTACCACCAGTTCAGTCAAGAAAAGTGAGTGAAATCCCTACGCCTGTAACCGTTTCAGTTTTTATGTCCCTCGGTATGTAACGACCGTAAATCGAAATGATGTGTGTAATTTTGAACATATTTATTCATCCAGTGATTCATCGGAAGGACATGGGAGCAAATGTAATGAAAATAAAAGAACCGCATGACCCTCTTCACGACAATTGAATTTTGCAAATGTCGAAATACCCAAACTAACTGAACCTGAAAACGAAAACAGCCAGGTCGTCATACATGATTTTTTTTTCTTCAGCTCAATCACACAAAGAACAAGTAAAGCTCATTTGTAACATATTCGGCCTTAAAAAAATATTGGGAGAATGGGCGGCCGAGTGTTGAAGGCACTGCTATTTGCTGAGCAAACATCCTTTAGTCGTGAGTGATCGTGAGTTCGAATCCCAGATTAGTCCCAATAATGATCCTTGGTTTGTCAGCTCCAACCCGGTCTCATAACATGTGACGCTTTGATTTTTCGCACATATTTTATACACACTGTGATATAACTGTACTGTTCTGTGCAACGTTAAACCCAACTAACGTATTAATACCCTATCAATAAGTTTCTTCTGACATTAAGAACCTTTGGTTTTTCGTTCAATTGTGAACATCTTGTTCTACATTTCAAAGCTTTGCTTCACAAAATGTCAGATGATTGTGCAACCACATTCGTAAGCATAAAATCGCATTGTTTAGTTCTTAATCATATATATATATATTAAAATAATAAAGTCCACGTTAGTCCATCATCTTCTTCATATCAGTTTCAGACATAGTACTTTCGCTGTCTCATGACAGCTCTTCAGTTACACTGAGACAGCGAAAGTATATATATGTATATATATATTATTTACCACTAAGTTAACATCGCAGTGAGTTCACTTTAAAACTCAGAAGTAGTTAGTTGAAGGTTAAGTTAGATTTCAAGTACTTTCTTACCAATAACCTTTGCGTTGTGTTAAGGTAATTCCATACATTTACGTAAGTTTGATATTTCAAGACTTGACGTAAATGATTTTGAGAAGTAGACTGAAGATCCCCCCAGTATACACAAGTCAGGGAACTGGACATATTCAATACTAGGATTAAATAGCGCTTAGTTGTTTTAAATACCCATGGTGACGTCACAGAGTAATTACATTTTACCACCAGTTCAGTCAAGAAAAATGAGTGAAATCCCTACGCCTGTAACCGTTTCAGTTTTTATGTCCCTCGGTATGTAACGACCGTAAATTATGTGGTTCAATATCTCAGGATCGTGACAGACTAACTCCACATTACACAACTCGTGAAATTGAAGTGTCATTTCTGTAATACTTGGGTAAAAACTATTTAAGTGTTCGACGTCTTTAAACGGACCATCAATCACCTACGTTAAGCAGCATAGTGTATAAAGGATGAAGATGATGATTGAAAGATGTGTTGCTTGTCCTTTCAGATACACTGTCATTCGAGCCTGCCTTCGACATGCCCGTAGTGAACGTGACTATAAACGAGGGGGAAACCGCCATATTGCCTTGCTCCGTCAGCTACCTCGGAGACTACGAGGTAAGGGAGCATCGTCTGGCACCAGCCTCTGCAGCTTACTCAGGGGACAGAGCTTTTTTAAAAAAAAATATTAAGGTGTTTATTCACTTACTGCCAAACGTTTTATCTTCCATTAATGGTAAATAGGGCGTGGGCGCTGAATGGTATACACGTTGGGCAGAGTTGTCGCCCTTAGACGCGCCAGGATTTTTACGCCTTTGTTTGATTCCGAGATTTCCCCCGATTATGATCAATACTCTGTCAGCTCAATAACCGTATGGCTTCACCAAAGTGGTAAACATCCGCAACCAACGTCGCTTTGGGTGTTCTTCTCCCATGAGTGAGTGAGTGAATGAGTATTGTTTTTACGCCGCTTTTTGCAATATTCCAAAAATATCACGGCGGGGGAAACCAGAAATGGGCTTAACACATTGTACCCATATGGGGAATCGAACCCGGGTCTTCTGCGTGACGAGCGAACGCTTTAACCACTAGGCTACCCCATCGCCCCTCTCCTCCCATGAAGTGAGCATGTTCATTGCAACACAGTCATACATTCACTATTGGGCAGGTGCGGTGGAAAAGCCTTGTGTTTAAAATGTTTGCTGGTCAAGTTGAAGGCCCCAGTTTGGTTACCATTTTGGTACAATAAAAGCCCAATTTTTTTCCCAAACCCTAAAATATATTGGTAAATAACCCACAACCTGATCAGTATCACCTGTCAACGAATTCCTATCGTTTGCAATAACTAGTGAAATCTTGATATCAGTCAGTACCTATACCCATCTTAATAACCAAAACAGATCGTTTGCAATACCACGAGTCACCTTAATTACCAACACAGATCGTTTCCAAAACTCTGATTCATCGTAATAATCAACGCAGATCGTTTTAAATACCCTGATTCATCTTAATAACCAACAGGGATCGTTTTCAATACAAAGAGACATCTTAATAGCCAAGCTTTTAGAAGCACGATACATCATGACGTTGCTGTTGTCAAGGGAAGGTTATGTTGCTTTTTGGACAAATGACACACATATACTCTTCTAAAAAAGAAACTTTGTAATTTTTTACTGCGTTCAATTAAATGTACATACTTCATTTCATTTGATTGCCACAAGGATGAAACTTAGCATGGTGATAGTCACATGCCCTGTAGACATAAAGGCAATACTAATTGTCGTGGGGGGGGGGGGGTTATCAGGTCAGTACCTGGAGTGACCACCGCGTGTATTTTTCACTGCTCTACACCGCCTTGACTTGACTCAGGCTGAATAAGTGAACGGATGATTCTGTACTGTAGACTTCTCCTCCATTCTTCCTACAACGCATTGGGCAGTTGTGTCAGTGTCTGTGGCGCATGTTGACGATGACATACACGTCTATTATGTTCATCAAAAAGTGCTCTATCGGGTTCTGATCCCGAGATCTTGAAGGGCATGGCAAGACATTGATGTCTGGCTTATGAAGTAAGTCAACAGTGACACGAGCTGTGTGTGTTGTAGCGTCCTCATGCTGATGCAACTCCTACTGCCGGTTGATAATCGGAAGAAGGAGACGTTGAAGATTTTGGTCGATGTACCGATGTACTGTCAGATTCCCCTGAACCACCACCAACTCAGATCTCCTTGTGTAGGATTTGGCTCCCCACACCATTACACTTCCGCCAAATCTGTCGATATATCGAACGCAGTTCGGTTCAAAATTTTCATTTTCATCGACGTCGCTGTTTTCCATCATGGCGTTGGAGACGTGATTCCTCATTGAAACCAGTCTCGCCGCCAGCTTCTCTGTGCCCATGCATGTACGACATTGCTCTGTGTCGTACGTTGTCGTCGATACAAACGTCTCAATACAGGGACACATACCGGTCTTACGGATCTAAATCCCGCCTGTCGCAGACGGCTCCTGATTGTTTGGTCCAATACCCTCCTCAAACCAGGCACATGTCCTCTAGTCTCGGTGGCAGTAACATGTTCATGACCCAGGCGACAGACCCGGATGTAGCGATCTTGTGCAGGGGTGGTGACTCTTGATCTACGTATTCTCGGACGATCCCATAAACGAGATATGGTGCTCTGGAGTACGTCGAAATGACGTGCAACTGCAGACTTGGACTAGCCCGCTTCATGACGTCCTGGTGTTACGATTGGCAGCATTCAAATAAGTCGACAAGCGTATTACAAAATGTTGAACGTCGTTTGACCTTTTATAGTCATTGTCACTGCACATGATTGTCCTAACTTGCACGTGCATTCTGCTTTTAATTGACTTTCCGTGACATCGTAAAGTGGGGGCACGAGTGGCCCAGTCGTCTAAGGCGCCGCGATTCGCTGTGCAGAGTTGCGTCCCTTTTGCGCCCCGATTATGTTTCTAGGTTTGTCAGCACCATACCCGTGCTCGTGGGTTACACCGACGTGCTAAACGTCTGAGACCTGCATCACTTCGGGCTTTCCTCCCACATTAAGCTGACACGCCGCGACATAACTGCAATACTGTCAAAAGCGGCGTTAAACCCAACTCACTCATTCACTGTCTTAAAGTAATTGCTGTATAAAGCTACAAACGGATCGTTTGTACACTGTGCTAGTTAACGAATATGAGATTAACATCGTTCAGTCAAAAATATTGCATTTAGAATGAAAGTTTCATTAATAAACAAAATCAACATTCTCATTATCTTCTTTGCGTTTTTGTTGTTGAAGTCACGCGACACTAAACGAGACCTAAACGTACATGACATTTCCTTATTTCGACTGCACACTATGATATGAAAACTATATTAAAACCTGTATGCTCGATTTTTCAATTACAATGCAACGCCAAGAGAGTCTTTTGTCAGAGCATTAGGAATCCAAATACTGAAACAGCGTAGACAGCATTACAAATGGACAGATGTTATCCATTATTCATGATTGAATTTGAAACATTAGAAGATGTTCTTACGTTACGAATATGATACGGTTTCAGGTTCAAATATTGACCATTTTCTGAAACAATACTCCATTCGTTACTGATCGAAATTCCTAAAAGCATCATCTTTACGTAAGTAGAATATAAGAAAACCAGGTGTAAAACGTAAAATAATATAGTATAGTAGGTTCCCATGTGATATACAGCTCAGCAATATACGTTGTTTGAAAGGTGCCGATAAAGCATTTTTAACCTGTATTTTAAGATTCTAATGTATACAAAATAAATATCTACACTCCCTTTAAACCATACAATTTAGTATTTACACACTAACGTAATGATTTGTATTTCTTTTTCACACAGGATTACCTGAAATTATCAGTGAAACAGTTTTAATAGGAGGTAATTACCCAATTTGGACACACTTAGAACATGAATCGGTAATTCTTTGCCTTTACTGTAAATCATAGATCACTAGGCTTACGATGAATGTTTGAGACAACTACATAACCATATATTTATATACATGTGAGGCATTTGAAACACCAAGATGTCTGCTAACGTTGTTCTGCCACTACGCTAAGCTAAATGGTCAACGTTCTCCTGGGATGACATTGTACAATTTGTCGACAACGGTATCTACAATATCAGATGTTTTGAATTTGTGAATGCGTGAGTGAGTGAGTGCGTGCGTGAGAGTGCGTGAGTGAGCAAAGTGCGTGAGAGTGCGTGAGTGAATGAGCGAGTGCGTGAGAGTGCGTGCGTGAGTGAGTGAGTGCGTGCGTGAGAGTGCGTGAGTGAGTGAGTGAGTGACTGACTGACTAACTGACTAATTGAGTCTAACTAACTAACTAACTGAGTCTCACTAACTGACTAACTAACTAACTGAGTCAAACTAACTAAGTAACTGACTTAGTCTAACTAACTGAGTCTAACTAACAGAGTATTACTAACTAACTGACTAAGTCTAACTAACTAACTAACTAACTGAGTCTAACTAACTAACTAACTAACTAACTGACTGACCATATATTATATATATATATACATGTGAGGCATTTGAAACACCAAGGTGTCTGCTAACGTTCTTCTGCCACTACGCTAAGCTAAATGGTCAACGTTCTCCTGGGATGACATTGTACAATTTGTCGACAACGGCATCTACAATATCAGATGTTTTGAATTTGTGAATGCGTGAGTGAGTGACTGCGTGCGTGAGTGAATGAGCGAGTGCGTGAGAGTGCGTGCGTGAGGGAGTGAGTGCGTGCGTGAGTGAGTGACTGACTGACTGACTAACTGACTAATTGAGTCTAACTAACTAACTAACTGAGTCTCACTAACTAAGTACGGACTTAGTCTAACTAACTGAGTCTAACCAACAGAGTATTACTAACTAACTAACTGACTAAGTCTAACTAACTAACTAACTAACTAACTAACTAACTGACTGACCATATATTACATATATATATACATGTGAGGCATTTGAAACACCAAGATGTCTGCTAACGTTGTTCTGCCACTACGCTAAGCTAAACGGTCAACGTTCTCCTGGGATGACATTGTACAATTTGTCGACAACGGTATCTACAATATCAGATGTTTTGAATTTGTGAACAAGAAACGCCAATAACAATAACATTTTGAAAGTCTCACACTGAACGTGTCGTTTCACACATCCAGTCATTTTGTTAATCCAATTTGTGTCAGCTCGTGTCACATTCATTGGTGGCGTACGTCGTTTTTGCTCAACTGAGCCATCGTGATGACTGGCAGGTGTTGTTTGCCAGGACTTGGGTCATCTTTATTGATGTTGGATATCGTGTTGAGTAGTACGTGTTTTGTGCTATTGACATTAATGCATTACAGCATTCAGTAACAAACAGTGCGTGCGTGCGTGCGTGAGTGCGTGAGTGCGTGAGTGCGTGAGTGAGTGAGTGAGTGAGTGAGTGCCTGCCCGATTGATTTCCTGCCCGAGTGAATGCCTGCCCGTGTGAGTGAGTGAGTGAGTGAGTGAGTGAGTGAGCGCCTGAGTGGGTTTTACGCCCTTTTGAACAGTATCCCCGATATATATCACAGCGTTTCAGCTTGATATGGGGGAAAAGCCCGAAGTGACGCAGGTCTCAGGCGTTTATCACTTTGGTGGGATCCACAAGCACGGGTATGGTGCTGACAAGCCAAGAAACATAACCGGGGCGAACCGGGATTCGAGCCAACGATCATTGGTTTCCTACGTGCCCAACGAACGCAGTTCTGCAAAGGGAATTGTGTCGAGTCGGACGACGAGCCGGGCCATCCGTGCTCCTAAACGTACATGAAAGGCAAGAAATGAATTGTTCATTTATAAGCAGAATAAGTGATGGGGGAAAGTGTTTAACATCGTACTTATTTGATTTATACAGTGAAGTGCTGTTTGTACTAGTCCGGACTAATGCCGGTTTTTTAGTGTTAGCCCCACTGTGATACCATGCCACAGTAGAAAAACTAACTAACTAACTGAGTCTAACTAACTAACCAACTGAGTCTAACTAACTAACTAACTAACTGACTGACTGACTGACTGACTGACTGACTGACTGACTGACTGACTGACTGACTGACTGACTGACTGACTGACTGACTGACTGACTGACTGACTGACTGACTGACTGACTAACTGACTAACTAACTAACTGAGTCTAACTAACTAAGTAACTAAGTCTGCCCATACGTAGTAAAAAGGGCACTTACTCTCTTCCAGGAGAGTCATATGGCATTAACACCTTCCCGTCATAGCTACCATATAAACAAAGCTCCATTTGCAAGGTAACAGCGTCGCCGTGTTTACGTGCTTCACAGAGAGTACTGTTGTAAGTGGAGTCATGTTTCAGGTTGTCTGGACTGATCAATGGTCAACGCTGCTGACATACGAGGACAGGCGTATCATTGATGACAGGAGATTAAGCATTGAGCGACCCTTTACAAAGGACTGGAATCTCCACATACGGAACACGAAGAGGAATGACCAAGGAACGTATAACTGCCAAGTGAATACCACCCCAGTCAAAATAAAAACGGTCATGCTTACAGTTGATGGTAAGCAAGATTTGTTATGGCTTTTAAAGTCTGCTTGTTGTTTAATATAGATTTGAAAGATGTGGATGATGACTCAAATTACACCCTCAATTAACAATTGTAACACAGTGATTGAAGTGGACATATTCTTTACATGTACAGTGCACACTTTTGTTGTTTATCGCGTAACATGATGTCACATGACTTGATAAAAGATGTCTGAGGTCGAATATATGGATATTACGAAGATGGATATAACGAACTAAATTTAGTGGTCCCTTTGAGTTCGTTATAACCGTAGTTTACTGTATTTTCATTCTTTTTGTCCTTCATCCGGTGAACTAATGGCCTTTACTCAAAAGTGTATTCTTATATATAATTGTGTGATTATTCTAGAAACACTTAACCAAATACCAATATGAGTGTTTTTGACAGACTCGTTTGCTAAAAGTCTGGTTATTTTTAAATTCCTGAAATGAATTTTACAAAAGTTTGAACCAAATACAGATAAATAAGACTGGACGGGGGCCAAGTTGCAATCCTATCAAATTTGATAATGTTGGTTGGATATCATCCCTTAAGAGCGTGTCTAATATATTTGTAAAGAAAAAAATATTTTTTTACCTTACCTTTAAATAATTGAACGTGTATGCATACAGCTCAGTTAATGTTACTGAATAAATAACCATTTGATCTTTCAAGTAGCCATGAAGATTTTCCGAAGTGGTATAACTTGATATTTGATAACGACCACGTTGACAGGAATAAGAAAATGCCGAATATAATATATAACTTTACATAGCTCACGAAAACCACAAACAACAATGATTTATTTGGTTTTTTTAGATTTGACAAGAAAGCTAATCACCGCTTTATACTCCAACCACTCAATACATACTGTTTTTCGGGCGTGTTATCCCATACAATGATTACATGTTCAGGGAAACAAAGCGAGCAATCTTTACATTTTCGCCTTTACAAGCTAATGCTGATACAGGATCGATACTCCAACCTACACAGCAGAGCATCTGCTGAGGATGGAAGGAAATTAAGATGCTGCATTCGATTGTCCGTTCAATACTTTCATGAAAGAATATGAAACAGATGCGCCCCGATAATTAAATACACATCGGAGGTATTTACATAGTAGATTTAATCCAAGTTGATCCCTCCTGAGTCGTATAAATGGCTGTAACGACAAGTGATAGGCCTTAATGTCCCCTATTACGACAATTGCCTCGTGGGCCGCAAGGCAGACACTACTCCAACAGAGAACGTGGGGTTTCATCAGCGTAAACTGGCTATAAACCTACGGCTGAATACATATATATACTAACACCTTGCAGTGCACGGTACTGCATGTAACTGATGCCCAGAAAGAAATGTAATTTGTAATCAGACATGACGTCATGTTCATCGATCGACATTGGTGATATGAACTAAGGGGTCTACTGACTCGATGAGGATGAAGATTTCAGAGAAGTTAGAGGACCAATATGTGATTAACTACGTGTCACATTCATGTCCTCCGAGCAGCACCCATACGCGATGCGTCATGCGCAATACGCAATACAGAATGATGAGACTAACACACATGAAGATGGAGTCTTTCTTTTAATTTACTTATGGCAGCTAATCTCAAATATGATGACACAGTTATGTACGGTTTGTCCATAATCCTTTTGAAGCAATTAAAAGGCCCTGTGAAAAAGGCATCGTCGCCATATTAACAATTAAAAGGATCATTTAATTGAAATCTTTGTACTTGTACATGTAGGGACGGTTTCTGTTTGTACGGGCAAATCAAGTTTTTTTCGAACACCTGGTGTCACAACTGATACGTACTTGTGCAAGTTCCTGTTCCTTCCGCCTTGTGTGACGCTTTTCACCTCTTGCCTCATATATAATTTAGATACGAAAAGAAATATTATTTTGGTGTTGGACGTCATACATAATAGGCTGGGGACCAACCATTTGATATTGTGTGGGACCGCTTTTTTGTATGGAGGCTTGATATTTCTTCACATACAGCTGCAAAACCATATATGTATTTTTAATTACAACTGTGAACCTAAACATCTTGTAAAAATGTATTTTTGGAGGCAGACAATTATTTTTAAGTAGCTTAAAGCATAGTTATTTTTAGGGATTTTCAATAATGTTCCACTTCACACTGGGGCAAAAAGGCCTCTTGTAATGTAAACAGACCACCAGTTAATTCGCCGTGCTTCTTGAACGCCAACTACTACTGACATTATCGACCTATGCATCCATGTATTGCACGATATGACCATGACGCGTTGAGAGACTCTTTGAGGTTGGACTAATAGACATGAATTAACCTAACTGATTGAAAAAATGTCTTACAATGGACAAGGACACGAATATAATTATCCCCTTCCCTTACATGACATGATACCAAACATATGTTCACACTCGTTTCGTTCATGTTGTTTGCCATGCCAACAGTGCCCGCAAAGATCCTGCAGGAGTATTCCTCTGAGGACATGACGGTAAAGGAAGGGGAGACAGTCACGCTACAATGCAACGTCAGTGGTATCCCTATGCCAAATGTAACGTGGACAAGATATACAATACATCGTGATGATGCACAGAAAAAGACCGATCTCTGTCCGGGAACTTACAGTAAGTTTACATAGCAAAATACGTTTCTTTAGCAATACTCCTGCTTTTTCAAGTCTGTTTATAATATAATTTGATCAGGGAAACCAGTGACTGAAAACATGAGCAATGGAAAGTTGACATACAATCAGCCAGGTCCGTGAGGGTTAACACCAGATCCATTTTAGTCGACGCTTGCGTAGCAAAAAAAACCCATTTTACTCTCTTTAAATTCAAAGCAACTTGTTTATAAATATATTCACAACTTTGAGTTTTCACAGGCGTTTGGATTGGGAATATATTGATCTAGGAATTGCTTGACTGGGTGTCAACGGTGGTACACGATAGGCTCCCCCATACCCGGACAACCAGTATCATCACTATTTGATTCCATGTGTCATGCATATTTTATGATTCAGTTGAGGTCTCTCCCCCAATCGATGACATCTGAACGAACTTTCATAGACTTGCATGTCATATTCCTGACTAATTTCTTAAAATAGTGTAACAAATCTCAAAACGTTCACTGATTTTCAAGCAGTTGAATCTTGAATTGTAATTGGGGATCTAGGGAGACAAATGAAATTCAAAGATGGCATGCACATTGTGGTTCGCTGGTGTCATTTTCAATGAAATATGCATCATTGTAAATTGGAGAGTTCCTTTCCACTTATACATGTTTTTCTTTTCAGACATTGGAGAACACCGCGAAATTTTGATGATACAGAATGCTAGTCGAGAGTGCTGGGGGATCTACAAATGTACAGCTTTCAATGGCGTCCCACCGGCGGACAACAGAGAGATCGGAGTCATTGTTGAATGTGAATATGAAACAAATCCTTTTGCAAAATCAAATTTTAAACCTAACAAGAAAGCCCATTTCTTCACAATCAACCGAATCTTGAATGTCAGATATACCTGCATGTTAAAACACTCAATTGTGTCTTTATAGTTATGTGGCTGTATTGGTATAATGTTATATTATATTATGTAAAATTCAAATTGTAAACGTTGTTTACGACTGGATGACTTTAACTTTCCAATAGTCATTTCCCCCATTATGTCGATATATCTGTGACATGATATTTCAGAAAGTTTCCTACTTTGCTCCTGCGTTTCTTCAGGTGAACACTTCACTTGCCTCTGCATGTGTTTGTGGCAGGAACCACCGGGAGGACAGGATAGGCTCATCACTAATTGATAGTCATTTATAAGCACATGCTTACGATAAATCGAAATCGCACAAGGATTCTTCTTGGAGCAGATATTTCTTATGATTATGGACATTTTTTCTCCGCTTTATATACATAACTAATAATACCAGTGCAATGATCTTGAATTGGATGTTAAACCCAATTCACCCCACCTCACCTACTAATATAACTAAGTAAGCAATTTGGCCGTTTGAGTATAATGTAATATTAGTTTATGAAAATGAATATTTTATGAAATACTACATAATATAAGCTCTGTAGTAACTATATAATACATTCTTGAATACTATATAACTGAGTTAGAGAATTTCTGGATGTAAACTTCTTTTTTATCAGGAACATATCACCTGATGAAGGAGTAAGTATATATTCCGAAACGTTATGTTCCCCATAATAAAGAAGATGTAATCCATAAATTCTCTTTCTTATGTGAACCGCCTCCGTGGTCTAGTGGTAGAGCGTCCGCCCGGAGAGCGGAAGGTCCGGGGTTCGATCCCCGGCCGCATCATACCAAAAGACGTTTAAATATGCTACTTGTTGATACCCTGTCTGGCGCTCGGCATTAAGGGGCTAAAACAAGGACTGGTCGGCTCGGAGTCAGTATACTGTGTCTGAGTGGGGTATTCATGTTAAACTGCGGCATGGTATCTCAGTGAGCTAGCACTATAAATCGACATCATTCCGGACTAGTACAAGCGGCCACACACACACACGTGCATGCGCATCGCTAATTTAGTGCAATAATCTTGGACGCGACGTTAAACCCAATTTCACCTCACCTCACTTTTTCCTTATGTGTACCGCTTCTAAATGCCATTCAAATAACTTATATATTTGAGATGTTACAGCTTTGATACTTTGATGCTTGGCTGTTAATTAATCGTTACGGGCATATATGTAACCATGGTTTGATTTCTAACTATGTTACAGTTCACGATAACTAGAGGGACTAAGGGAGTTCGAATCCCAGATTCATCCAAATTATGAACCTTGGTCTGTCAGTAGCCATACTCTTTTCCTTTGGTTTCACAAAAATATAAAAATAGAATTACAAAATGTTAAAGAGGTGTGCGAATTTGGTTTAAAGCCGCTTTGAACAATTTTTAAGTTATATCACGGGTGTAAGGATCATGAGAGAGCAAAGCCCCAAAGGGATGCAGTCTTGGCAGGCGTCACTTTGGTAAACCCGCGGGGACAGATATGGGGTTCATGTTCAAAGGGATGTCTAAGGGGAAATATGCTCCACGATCTGAGGGGCGGGCGGGTAGCCTAGTGGTTAAAGCGTTCGCTCGTCACGCCGAAGACCCGGGTTCGATTCCCGACATGGGTACGCCGTGTTATTGCTGGAATATTGCTAAAAGCGGCGTAAAACCATACTCACTCACTCACTCACTCCACGGTCTGATGCTGATTTTCTGCCTTTTTCGAGACATTCTAATTAATGCCATGTATCAAACTCAGATAATGCGTTAGTGTAATTAGAATTTTCTCCAAAGTTGGTATACCTTTTTTGACGCAATAAGCGCCCAGGGCGCTTTCAAAATTAGAAAAAGGGGGCTCTTATTAGAATAAAATTTGGTGAAAAAGAAACAGAGTTGAAAGAACGTAAATTTCGTGGTATATGGTGACAGCCTGAAATGATACAAAAGAAAAGTCTGTGTGTATTATACACGACATATATTTTCCAGAATTTAATTGCCCATAATTAAGGTGCATATAACCCACAAGTGCGTATTATACACGAATAACTAAGTCTTTTGTACATTGATCTTTTGGAAGGTGTCTAATTGGGATTGTTCACTAGCCAATATATTAACAAATATCTTGGGCGCTTATTGGAGCGAGGCGTTATTACGTCGAATACGGTACATAAATATAGGAGCACAAGAAACAGTTATTTGATGGACGTGAATCAAACTTGCCAGACCTGCTAATCAGTCGAGCATAGTCACCCTAGAAACATGTATCTCTCGATGTTACTTACATTGTCATTAATCTTGTCCTTCTTTCAGTTCCTCCCGAGGTGGTTCTTCCCAATAACAAGATCGGGCAATACCAAGAGAAAGAAACAATTCTTGAGTGCGTCGTTACCGCCAACCCACATGCTGTGAGTGTGTGGACTCGACACGGGTACAAGATCAACAACAGTGTCAAGTATAGGACCGACATCTACAGGGACGGAGAATACACCATCACTCTCAGCCTGAGGATTCGAACGTTGGAGGCGGATGACTTCGGAGTCTACGTGTGTGAGGCGGCTAACGTCCAGGGTACCAGTCAACAGCTTATGACACTTTACGGTGAGTGAATAAAATTGCAGTGGGGTTTAATTTATGAGTTAGATTATCTCCTAGTCATTTTTCTTAATTTTATTTCCTCCGTTAACGTGATGATATATTTTACAGGGAAAATATTTGAATATTTGAATAAGTGAGTATATTGGATTTTACCATAATGAACTCAGTGTTTGAGTTATCCTACGGCGTATCAGTAGAGGGAGTGAGTGAGTGAGTTGGGTTTAACGCCGCTTTTAACAGTATTCAAGTTATATCACGGCGTGTCAGCTTAATGTGGGAGGAAAGCCCGAAGTGATGCGGGTCTTAGACGTTTACCACTTCGGTGAAACCCACGAGCACGTGTATGGTGCAGATAAACCTAGAAACATAGTCGGGGCGAACCTGGGATTCGAACCCACAACCATAGGTTTCTGGCGTGCCCAAGAGACGCAACTCTGCACAGCGAATTGCGGCGCCTTAGACGACTGGGCCACCCGTGCTCCCTCGTATCAGTAGAATTGAAATCTGTAATTTATATTTACGTTTCTTTAAGCTGTGCTCCCCTAATAACACAGCGTCTTACATTTGGGGAGATTATGAGGGATGGTTCTCGATACATAAGCAACCCTTTTTCTGGTCATTATTTTTTTATCTTTCCCACTTTGATAAAGACCTGAAAGGGTTTAAGTTTTCAGACAAAATGGCGAATACTGTATCATGTCAGACTTCCTGAATGGTCAATTAAATTATATGGTTTGATTTAAAGTCGGCGAGGTTAACTGAACAAATACGGTTTTCATTTCTGTGCAATTTATTGCTTGTAGATTATGCTGAATATCGCAGTAAGGTTGAAGATGAACATAGCACAACTACCACCCTGGCCACTGTCAAGACAGACTGGATCTCCATACAGACGAGGTATCCCATCACTAGAAACAGGACCGGTTCTATACTCGTGATGGAGAGCGGTAGACATACTTCGAACAACAATGGTCCCAGGAATGGTGTTGTTTTGGGTACGTTTGTCACATATTTGCAGCATGGCTTAACACCGTACGTATTGCTATATAAAAATCGCAGTGATTTGAAATTATACATTTTTAATAGAAATATCAACAAATTTCATAGATGAATGTAGATGGCCATTTCATGTAAAATTTGTTTCAACACAATGAGATAAACGCTACGATTATGTTAATGTTAGTTTTTTATGAAATGCCAAACCTTGAACCGAACGTAACGTATTGATTGTTGAAATTAGTACCGTCAATGTTATTAATGCTTCACAGAGTACACATTTTCTCTTGTATTTTACAGAGACCGGCAACTTCGTGGGTTCAGGTGGAAACCGATTAACGCAATTCTTCTTTGTGATATGCATTGCTGCGTTTCATGTTTAATGAACCTTGAATGGTTCTGCGGCTATATCTCCAGAGCCTTACAACATTTCAAACCATGGCATATTTTGGAGAATTTCCAAGAGCTCCCAAGTGTAAAACGAGGCAATTGTTTTGAAAAAACTCCGAATCTCAATTCATACAGTTTCACACCAGCAGCTGCACTTCAAGATAGCTTTAGGGTGTGCTGATATTTGTACATATTTTCATCTTTCAGTTTAAACGCATGTTATATGCAAAGTTAATCAGTGTTTCAAGTTTGCTTCGGGGTCATCGATGTAATGGCTTCATTGATGAAGAAAACATATCGCCCATGCCGATGGCTAAATATGATGCTCAATTTGTTTTTACATTCAAGTGATTTTGTGATATACATTTTATCTTCGTGGTATTCTTCTACGGCCAACAGAATATCAAATAACGGAGGTGAGCTACAGGTGACAATTCACACTCATAGACATGCGTTGGAAACTTATTATTCATCAATTATAGAGGGCATCTTATATCAGGCAGAGTTCGACCTATAGGTGGTGGAAACAAAAACTATTTAGGAATTTAAATATTATGGTCTCTATGTTACACTGCTTGAATTAAGGATCAGTCACATGACCGCGACTGCGCGATCTGTAGGAAAGAGTAGATTGCTGTAGTGAGACGTTATACAAAGCTAGTCGTTTGTGATTTTGCCATCTTTGAACCAACTCTAATGGACGCGATGTAAAAAAATAATTTATAACTCTTTTTAGAGATCTGCATTTGATGCTTAAACTCACAATCTCGTATATATGCTTTCCATAACCATGTAATTAAAGAAATGTGTTTTAGTACCTATATAGTGAATGTATGTCTGTCCAGCACTCTACGATGTACATACACAATGTAAATACAAGTTTGCTTTTCATGTTGTAAGTGCTGGTTATCTGGATAAGTGGGCTTTACATACACCCCTTACTATATACCCATAATTTGTATTTGCATGTATTCAGATGGAGTGAAGGCATTAGGTATTGTTTCTGATAGATAGCATACTTTGACGAAGGTACAGGCATTTGCTATTTCTTTTACTGCCTATGCACTCATGGTACAAGTTGCAGGCATTTCGTGCTTTGACACAATCATTCTCACAAGGACACGGTATTATTTATCGTTCGTGAATTTAGAGTTTGTTCAGTTCCATGCTAAACTGTTTTACGTACAGGGATACCCAGTCCTATGGTATTTGAATTCATGTGGTTAAAGTATTCGACTATATTTTGGCATCATACGAAAGAAACCTATGACTTTAAGCAAACAACATACACCTCTTTTGAGCTGTTAAATACAGCGATGCAGATAACACCAGAAGTAAATATGTGAACGTTTCTTTTCGTGTTTGTTAACTGTACCCTCTCTTGCAATAAATATCTTTTTTAAAAGTTACATATCGTTATCAATCAATCATAAAGAAAATTGCACAGAATTCCTATCAGCGTTTTAATAATTTTTGAGTTGGTTGTTGGGTAGCCAAAGTGTTAATGTGATCACTCGTTATTCACAAGTCCGGGGTTCGATTCCAAAATTGGTAAACTCTTTGAAGACAATCCCTGGTTTGCCTCGTTGAGATATTGCTGCCACATTATTATTCTGAAAGCGACGTGAAGCCTCTCAGAAATATCAGTGAGATTGGTGCTGACATGTTTTGCTGCCTCATGTCAGAGAACATGTGCATATGATTGACTTGCAGTAAAAAAGGACGTTTAGAAGTCCGACGTGTCCTAATTTAAAGGCACACGCCACAACAAAATGTAGTTGATGGAAAACATGAATCTCACGACCATGTTGGCCACCTTTCAGCATTAATCGTTTGAATTATCTATTTAACTATATTTAATATTTGTTGATCTGTTGTGTCCGAATACAGTTGTTTATTACTCGAGTGTTTGTCATTTGTTGAAGTCTTGCCAAATGTGAAACAGTCTTACATATTCAAGACACCACTTGACACTTAAGTGGATAAAATGCGAACAAGACAAATTAGTAACCTTCTACCCTATTCAGCTTCTCGACGAAGTCACTTCTACAGAATCAGTACGCTTCAAGTGTCCTCGTCATTCGATTGGCAAAAATTCCTAAACACGAGTCCCCTGTCGATAGCTGTGAGAACTTTTCCATTTGCTCTTTTAGGTCAAATTCAGTAGGAATTTGTCGCCTTGCAGGAATTTCATTGTTGTTATCACCAATCGATCCCGTGCTTATTGGCTGATTATGGAAATGCGTATAGGGAGAGACACGCTTACCAGTTTTCCATAACCTCATATCATGCTTCGGGCCTGTGACCGTCCCTGCGGCGTCATTGACTACACAGAGGCTTGAAGCGGACAAATAGGTACATCATACACTTAAACTTTAATTCCCTGTTTAATCGATAGCTTTAATGTGTCGGTTAATGGAACCATCCTGTACAGGCCCGCGTGCGTCTCTCTGTTGGAGATATTGGCAGTGCTCTCAAACGGGCATGGGATATTTATTTATCGTTTATTATTGGTTCCTCTTGGAAAATATACACAGACTTTATTTCAAGTCAGATAAGCATTAGCGTTTGATATCCCCGTAAAGAGTCTCGAGTTTCTTAAGCGCTGAGTAGCAAATGATAGGAAAGTCAATGTTACTGTCGTACATTCGCATGGTCTTATACATATCAACTAAGAGATGAATAACATAGCACTGAATTGAAGATACAGTCGACTTTTATGTGCATATTGGAGTTAGATGACCCGGCAACGTGTTGGTTGGTTTGCACTAGAAATGTTGTCATGATATCAGAGTTAGATGACCCGGCAACGTGTTGGTTGGTTGGCACTAGAAATGTTGTCATGATATCAGAGTTAGATGACCCGGCAACGTGTTGGTTGGTTGGCACTAGAAATGTTGTCATGATATCAGAGATAGATGACCCGGCAACGTGTTGGTTGGTTGGCACTAGAAACGTTGTCAGGATATCAGAGTTAGATGACCCGGCAACGTGTTGGTTGGTTGGCACTAGAAACGTTGTCAGGATATCAGAGTTAGATGACCCGGCAACGTGTTGGTTGGTTGGCACTAGAAAGGTTGTCAGGATATCAGAGTTAGATGACCCGGCAACGCGTTGGTTGGTTGGCACTGGTGCTGTTGTCTTAACACCCATGTTAGATGACCCGGCAAATCGTTGGTTGGTTGGCACTAGATCTGTTGCCTTGATATCGGAGTTAGATGACCCGGCAACGTGTTGGTTGGTTGGCACTGGTACTGTTGTCTTGAGATCAGAGCTATATGACCCGGCAACGCGTTTGTTGGTTGGCACTAGATCTGTTGTCTTGAGACTAGAGCTATATGACCCGGCAACGTGTTGGTTAGTTGGCACTAGATCTGTTGTCTTGAAACTAGAGCTATATGACCCAGCAACTATTTGGTTAGTTGGCACTGGTGCTATGTCTTGACATCGGAGTTAGATGACTCGGCAACTATTTGGTTAGTTGGCACTGGTGCTATTGTCTTTACACCGAGGTGAGATGACCCGGCAACTTGTTTGTCTGTTGGCACTGGTACTGTTGTCTTAAGATCAGAGCTATATGACCCGGCAACGTGTTGGTTAGTTGGCACTAGATCAGTTGTCTTGCGACTAGAGCTACATAACCCAGCAACGTGTTGGTAAGTTGACACTGTTACTGTTGTCTTGACATCGGAGTTAGATGACTCGGCAACTATTTTGTTAGTTGGCGCTGGTGCTGTACATGTTGTCTTTACACCCAAGTTAGATGACCCGGCAACGTGTTGGTTTGTTGGCACTGGTACCTTTGTCATCAAATCGGAGCTATATGACCCAGCAACGTGTTGGTTGGTTGGCATTATATATTAGTTGTCTTGATATCGTGCAATATGACCCGGCAACGTGTTGGTTGGTTGGCACTGGTACCTTTGTCTTCAAATTGGAGCTATATGACCCAGCAACGTGTTGGTTGGTTGGTACTGGTACTGTTGTCTTGAGATCAGAGCTATATGACCCGGCAACGTGTTGGTTGGTTGGCACTAGATCTGTTGTCCTGTGATCAGAGCAATATGACCCGACAACCTGTTGGTTGGTTGCCACTGGTACTGTTGTCTTGAGATCGGAGCTACATGACCCGGCAACGTTTTGGTTAGTTGGCACTGGTTCTGTTGTCTTGTGATCAGAGCTATATGACCCAGCAACGTGTTGGTTAGTTGGCACTGGTGCTGTTGTTTTTACACCCACGTTAGATGACCCGGCAACTTGTTGGTTGGTTGGCACTAGATTGGTTGTCTTGATATCGGAGTTAGATGACCCGACAACGTGTTGGTTCGTTGACATTATATCGGTTGCCTTGATATCGGAATAAGATGACCCGGCAACGTGTTGGTTGGTTGGCACCGGTACTGTTACCTTGATGTCGGAGTGTTTTGGTTGGTACACGTAGGAACTGGTACCGTTGTACTACAGTGTGCCCGATATTCTCATATCAAATACAAAAAGTCGATACAATTGATGAACCTTTGTCACGATATAAATACTTGTTATACCTTGTTTAACTAACACAGTTATTGGACACTTAAAACTGTTGGAAAGTGTTTATATCTCGTTAGATCCCTTAAAACCACGAACATTGTTCATCTGAACGTTTTGTGTTCCACAAGATGTTTTGATGATAATGGGAAAAACAAAAATTGACATTTATGAAACAGAGATGTGTAATACCCCTTCCAATTATATCATATTCTTATTAAGTAGTTTAACATTTCTCTATTAATTTACCTCAGACAAGTTATTTCATAAGGTATCTGATATTACCATCAGAAATCAAGACTAGAAAAAAATGCATCTCACTGGAAACAATTTCCTTCTTTATAAAAATATTTTAATTAAAACTATTAAACCTATGTCAAAATGGGAATCACCTTATCAGCTTTTAGGCTTAGATTACATCTGGCCACATTTTGAAAGAGTATTGTGAAATAAGTGATATAAAAGTTGGAATGTTATAAAAATGAATAATGTAACTAATAAAACATATTAAATCATCCAAACATGTAAACACAAAGAATAAACAGACAATCAAATATCACATTTTGGTAAAACAGTCGTAATTACATATGTAGCCTGAGTCAGATCTCAAATGTCCACAAACGTACAGTTTCGCTCAATTAATTGAGTTTGAATCAAAATGTTTATTCAACAATGTAATAAACTGATAATTATGACTACATACAAAGGTCCTTGTAGAAAAGCCAATGTCTTGACTGTCTGTTTTGAGAAGGTTTCTTACCGACCTTAGCATTTTTAACGACTTGGGTCATATTTGCTGGGACTGCTAATGTGCTAGAGTCTGCTTCCCCTTTAAGCCGGACACTTAACATGTCTATCTTCCTTTACACACCAGGGGCGGTCGGGTAGCCTAGAGGTTAGGGATGAAGATGCTGGTAATTGAATTTCGCTGATTACAGTGTGAGCATGCATCCTGTTCAGGTCATTGTGCTCCGTCGAAAACGTTGGCATTGTATTCCTCTTAAAACATGGCGCTTTGTTTCTTTTGTGTTGCGGGCGGTCGGGTTGCCTAGTGGTTAAAGCGTTCGCTCGTCACGCCGAAGACCCGGGTTCGATTCCCGACATGTGTACAATGTGTGAAGCCCATTTCGGGTGTCCCCCGCCGTGATATTGCTGGAATATTGCTAAAAGCGGCGTAAAACCATACGCAATCACTCACTCACTCCTTTAAACACCACCATCAGTTACACCTCGCCCAGCGGAACTGCCTCAGGACCTGCACCACTTCAGACGTCACCCCACATTAACCTGACACGCCTTTTTATAACTGAAATACTGTTCAAAGCGATGTCTAACCCACTCACCTACTCATTCCAGTCATCAATAAAATACAGACCATCTAGTCTTCATGAAATCGCTTTCCAGCTTTCCAGCGATGTCATGTAACGATATATGAAACGTGAGTAAAATGATTGTGTTCATTGACTGGCATGATTTCGACACCGGCCACAAATCCTTCATGTGATTGCTTTCACTCTGTTTACAAACAATATATATGTACGAACATTGCTGTACCAAACAAATCATTAAGAAAGGGACATCATATGCAGTGTCATGAGAATGTATTATACAGGCCTAATTTGTAGTTGTGTTACTCAAAAGAGTGAGTGAGTGAGTGAGTGAGTGCGTGAGTGCGTGAGTGCGTGAGTGCGTGAGTGAGTGAGTGTTTACGCCGCTTTTAGCAATATTCCAGCAATATCACGGCGGGAACACCAGAAATGGGCTGCACATAGTGTACCCATGTCGGGAATCGAACCCAGGTCTTCGGCGTGACGAGCGAACGCTTTCACCACTAGGCAACCCGACCGCCCGCAACACAAAAGAAACAAAGCCCCATGTTGTAAGGGGAATACAATGCCGACGTTTTCAACGGAGCACAATGACCTGGACAGGATGCATGCTCACACTGTAATCAGCGAAATTCAATTACCAGCATCTTCATCCCTAATAGAAATCATTCATTATTCAAATTGACATGCCGCTATCGGTAGGAATCGGCGGACTGTCCATTTTTTGTGTGTCTCTATTTAATGATTATTTTATTAGTTCTGCGCTTGTTAACTCATCGCATATTTATCCATTTATATATACAGTAAAGTACGGTTATAACGAACTCAAAGGGACTACTAATTTTAGTTCGTTATAACCGTAGTTCGTTATAAGCATATATACAGCATCTTTATAGCAAATATCCGTCAGTTCGTTATAAGCGTGTTCGTTATAACCGTAGTTTACTGTAGTAAGAACCCAATTAGGACAAAACTTATATGAGGTAAATATGGGAAACATGAAAAAGATATACCATCGCAAAATATCAATTGGTAGATTAAAAATAAACC